AGAAGCCTGATGATGGCAGATGAGATTCTGCCGAAACGTTGCTACAACTTTAAAAGCACAACTACAATGACGTGGGAAAATACCCAAACAAAGCTGAATGCCATACATGTAAGTACCCGCGAAAACTTGAGAATGTATGTATGTATGTATGTATGTATGTATGTATGTATATATATATATATATATATATATATATTCAATATTTACATAAATGGCGTGTTGTGAGTTAATTTTGTGAGTTTGCTTGCAAGCAAATTTTATGTGACAGACTGAACTAGCCAATGGCAGATAGATAGATCTCTGCTTTACCTGATTTTGGGTAAAAGTTGCTCTATTTTAATAAAAAAAAATCAATATTTATATAAATATTTATAATATTTACATACAAGCCATACCCAGCCAGTCACATGACCACCAAGCCATGCCCACAAATTAGGCCACGCCCACAGAACAAATTAGTGGTCCCTGGGATTTAAAATTATGAGTTTATTGATCCCTGAGGTCTAAAAGGTTAGCGACCCCTGATATAGAGTTCATGTGTACTTTTTTGACCCTATAGCCAAACATTAAACGTTCTTTCTAGAGTCAGAACCGCTTGTACCTCTATGGAATATACAGCAAAATTTATCTGAGCATAAATTATAAAATCTCCCCAGCTTTCTGAGTTTCTTATTGCCTTAGGTTATGAGCTAAAGGAATATTTCAACCTGCTTAGCTGCTTCCAGGCACTTCTGTATAGAAATATCATCAGGCTCCCCTTGGTACTCAGGTACTACAAAAGTTTAAAGAAAAGTACAGTTAGTGGTGAACAGTAGTTTGCTAAGATACCAGACAAATGGAAACATGAACTCACAGTCTATTTTCTTTGCAACCAATTTGTATGGGAAGGAGTCACCTAGAATCTGAATCACCTACAAGATAAAGAGAAGTAGTTAGTTTTGAATACTGGTAAGCTTTCACAAGTTACATCTCAACTATCTTGCACAACGTAGCAGTCAATTTACTGCGGGCTATGTTTCTCTAAGAAACCCAAATGCCACATTTGCATTTCATATTTCAGAAAATTATTAAAAACTTCCTACTTCATCAAGAATTCATCTACACTGATTGTTGGCACTCTTTTATGCATGTAGGTTTTTTTCTGCTTTGCTTTTATTTTCTTTTACACTGCCAAGGGTTTTTGTCAGAGGTGGTATTCAGCAGGTCCTGGAGAAGCGGTAGCGGAAATTTTGAGTAGTTTGGAGAACTGGCAAATACCATCTCTCACAGGAGATTTTACAGTATCCTTCCCCTGCCCTGCCCACCAAGCCACGCCCACAGAACCTGTAGTAAAAAAAATTGAACCCCACCACTGGTTATTGTTACAAGTATAGGATAAAGCCATTTTTCTCAGGTGGTGGTATTTCTGGACTGACAGTTCCTAGTGACATCAATCAAAAACAAATTTCCCACTAGATTATTTTCTGGATTTAAACATATAAAAGTGGGGAACACAACAGTGCTACAAACTGAAGGTACTTTGGCTAAAGCCATATAATGGATGGCTTAGAGTTAAAATATCTTTACTTTCCGCCAGTATTTGCTAGGATTGCAAATATTCAAACACCAAGCCAATAGAAAAGAGGTACATAAGTCTTGGTTGTCCAGACTTTTGCAACTCAGAATAGCTAATCCAAGCATTTCAGAATTTTTTTTTGCGCTGAAGCAATCAATAACCACAATTTTCATAACCAGTACATTCATGTTCTGCCTATTTGTGACTCTTTGTGGAAGATAGGTAGAAATCCCAACTCTTGCAAAGGCTGGCCCGTTTATTCGTTAGTGAAAAACAGCGTTTCTGAATCTCAGCCATTTAAGAGGTGTGAACTCCAACACCCAGAATTCTCCAGAACGCTGGCTAGGGAATTTTGGCAGCTGACGTTCATACATCTTAAAGTTGCTGAGATTGAGAACGCTGGCCTATAAGTACCAAGTTCATCATTCGCAGATGAACAGAAAAACAGCTAAACGCTAGCCGGTGTCATCACCCATCCGCTTTGTAAACGACGGCAGAAAGCCACGGAAGCCGCTGCCCACCTCCTCCAGTTTCTTCACGTTTCCGGTGACAAACACCACGCTTCGGCCGGCCGCCGGTATCATCGCCATCGTGCCCTGACGCCTGCGCAGTTAGCCAATCATGACCTCCTCAGGGTTCCCCTGGGCACTCCGAAGACAAGCTTTGAAAGGTATACGAGGAATCACGCTGAAGAAGGGCGGAACCTATCGCAAACTCTGAAATCCACTGGACGTAAAAATCCAAGATGGAAGCTTTGGCCAGCCAATGAGCTTTGAACGTAGAGGAAGGACTCAGAGAGGTAAAAAAATGGGAGGGTAAAGACCCGGACGGCACTTCCGGCGTGTGTTTTGGCTCCCGGGAACGCCTTCCGGCGGCTTCAGCAATGGAGGCGTTGCGGTTGCTCCCGCGAGACGCTCGAGACTTCGCTTCGTCGGAGTATTGGGACCGATTCTTTCGGAAGCGAGGCGAGCGTGCCTTTGAGTGGTACGGCGAGTGGTCGGGACTCGGACCGACTTTGGGGCGGTATCTGCGCCTGCGGGACTCGGTGAGACGTGATAAACCGGAGGAGAAAAACAAAAGTTAGGAGAAAGGAGAGCACGTGGGCAGGGCATGAACTTTATTCGGTGGAGGCTCCGGAGGAGTTTTCATTACCTGAGATCAGTCAAGCCAACTTTCGGAGCTACGTTCCGGTGACTAAAATATAGATTAGCCCCCCTGGCTGGATGTACATCACAACGCACTAAGCTACTAACTAATCGCCCCCTTTTCAGTTGCTTCGTAATGTCAAGAGGGCCTCTGCAATTCAGATTGGCCGCCTGATGTCTAGTCTAGTTTTTAAAATCCCCGATGAGCTTGGATGAAGGCAATTCAGACAGCCCGATCTCTTACCAGAGGCCACGGTGATTCTGATAACTCCTGATTTTATTCTACTTAGGCACAGGATGGAGAGAAACGTGAATGTTAATGTGCTTGATTTGGTAGCTGACAACTAGCAAGACAGGCACTGCCCTCAGTTTTACAATATTAAAAAAATGCAGAATGCAAGAAATCCCAAGCTCATGTATGTGCTACAAATTTCTTACAAATACTGGCATCAGCCATGCAGGTGAAAGCAGTTTTAAAAATTGGTGAACTCTGTTTGATATCTCTGGCTGCTATAATCTGTTAGATAACTGCAGTCTTCACAGAAAACCTATTTCTTCTCCATCCACCCAATCATTACACCTATGTATACAATGATAAAAAGTGAATGTATAAGAAGTACCTGTATTCCAAAAAATAATATTTTGCCTTACGTCTTTTAAGTTATAAATCAAGGGGCAGGCTGAGGTTTTTTTAATTCATCATGTAGGAAGCCTTTTTAGTTGAAATATAAAATTGCTTCAAATACTTGATCTACAGCAGGGCTCTGCAACCTGAAACACTCAGCCATCTGGACCAGTTTCCCGCAGAAGAGAAAACATCAGGAGCCACAAAACCTGAGATGGCATGGCCAACTCGATGTCACTCACTCCCACCCAGTCACATGACCCCCCCAGATACACCTACCCAGATTTTGTGGCTCCTGGTATTTTTCTGGGAAACCTCTCTCTCTCTCTCTCTCTCCCTCCCTCCCCCCCCTCTCTCCCCCCTCTCTCTGTGTCTCTCTTCCTCCTCCCTCATTTCTCCCTTACTTTCTCTGATCTCTTTCTCTTCTTTTTCCTTCACTCTCATCTCTCTTTCTCCCTTTTATCTTTCTCTTTCTCCCTCTCTAATCTCTCTGTTTCTCAAGAGCAGCAAGCAGGCCATGGAGGCGGTAAGAACAGCAGCATTAGCCACAGCCGGGCAGGACCAGTGTCTTTTGGCAGAGAGAAAGTCACGTGTCTCCCCATATTCCTTTCGCCGCCTCCATGGCCTGCTTGCTGCCCTTGCAGCACCTTGTGCAGCACACTTAAATTTAGCATGCTTCACAATAGAGGAGACGGTGTCCCCTCCTCCTCCTGGAGCCCATTATGATGCAGAGAATTGGCTGTGGCCAGGCCAGTATCTCCGGGGCGGAGAGAAAGTCATGCATCTCTGAGTGGCTGAAGTACATGCAGTACCAACAAGGGTCAGAAGAGGGGTGCTCTGGAGCCACAGGTTGCCAACCCCTGATCTCAGTATGTGATCTAGTGTAATATGGGAAATTCCCCTTTATTCCTGTTCTACTTTCTGCATATGTGGATAAGAAATTATGGGGTGCTAACTTCTTTCTCAACCCTACTTTAAGCTGAAATCTAAAAGTATGGATTTTGCATGGACTCTAAAGAGAGCTTTCATGAGTCATTTTGATATGTCAGGGTCTAAACTTCCAACTTTTTCCTAAGATTATATTTCTCTTCATTAGTTTCATGACTTTTATTTTAAAATATCCAGTGAAGTGTATACAAATTATCCAGGATCTACTTTCATTTTAGTTTCAATATGTTTTAATTACTTTGAGGGCCAGATGCTAGAACTCTTTGTATAAACTACCTGAAAAATCCCTATGCTAAGGAATAATTTTGACAAGCCTAAAAGGAACATGACATTTCTTCCATTCTTTTCTGTTAGATTCTTGTTGTTGGCTGTGGCAATTCAGAACTAAGTGAGCAGCTGTATGATGAAGGCTATCATGATATCATCAGTGTGGACATTAATGAGCGGGTTGTTAAGCAGATGCAGGAACGCAGCAAGCAACTGAGACCCAAAATGACTTACATGGTAATGGATGTACTGCAAATGGATTTCCCCGATGATCATTTCCAGGTGGTGTTTGATAAAGGCACACTTGATGCCCTGCTGACTGATGGAGAAGAAATCACACTGAAAAGAGCTGAAAGAATGTTTGCTGAAATTGGCCGTGTCTTGCAATTCGGGGGGCGTTACCTATGTGTCTCCTTGGCTCAGACACACGTATTGAAGGCAGCTGTGGAATATTTTTCTCAGGAAGGTTGGATGGTTCGTGTACATCAAGTCCCTGGCCAGAAAACAGGCACTTCAGAACAGGAATTTGCTTTGCCTGTCTTTGTTTATGTTATGACAAAGATAAAACCAGTCCCTGGCTCTGTTTTATGCATTTTGGAGCTCTGTACTGAAGCACAAGAGAAACCTGCCCGGTTCAAGAACAGTGAGCATCTAATTGATGCAGTGAAAGAGAGACAACACTATTCTCTGCTGTGGAATCAACTCAATAAGAACTCCAATGTAGGGACCATCTCTCTGGATCTCTGCAACAAAGACACTGGTCAAGTCCGGTATACTTTACATGTAGTGCATAGCCCAAAGGTGAAAATGTCACAGGACAAGCAATTTGCCATCTTTATCAGTGAGTTAATGTGTTCCTTATTTAGCCCACTGTATTGGAGATCAAATACAATTCAAACAACCCAAGATTCTATCTTTAGATTCCCTTCCTCAAACGTTGCTAATATTATTGAGCAAAATTTGCAGTTTTTTCAGATATGCTGAAAAACAGTATTTGCAAGGGTAGCAAAATCTATTCCAATATTTATGGGATTTTGAGTTTATCAATGCTAATTAGCAAGTAGCCTTTAGGATTTTTTTTCTCTATGAATTTCATCCCTAAAGAATGAACTAGCAACTTTTAAATCGGTTCGTATCAGAAAGTTCATATCAGACAAAAGAGTTGAAAATGATTAAACATTCTGTATCATAATATTGTTTTCGAGTATCAATTCATTTTCTGATATTTGATATTCGAACTCACAAAATAGAAGTTATCAAAATAATTGCTGCAGCGTCTAACAAATGATATTTATATATATTTTTGCTTGGTATTGTTTTGGTGGATATAATATTGTAATATTCCCAGAATTTGCTTCTAAAACATCTTGAGTTGTGACCATACATTTCCAATATATGATTAATTGTAAATAATTGAATATAATTATACTATTTTAAGAAAGTAGCGATCAAAGCTTTATGTAAGGATAAATGTTAAGAATCGTGGTTAGTAAAGTGTGAATTACCAAGGAAAGCAATAAGCTGTAACATGAGAACAGAAAAATTGTTCTGCTTTAAATATCCCATGAAATTGAAATATAGAATCTGTGCACTGAAAGCTCCACATTTTTGATGAGACACAAATCCCTTCTGTTGCCTGATGCAGTACCACAGGGCAGAGAAACTGAGTGGCTCTTTGGAACGGAGGAGGGACGGAAGCAGTTGGCCATGAGTGCGGGATTTTGGCGTCTGGTAACTGTGGCCTTACATAGAAATCAACACTATGACAACATGGGAGCCATCCAGGCAGAACTGTCAGAAAAAGTGATGGAACTAGCCCCCCCTGGGCTTCCAGCCCAGCAGCAGGTATGTCTTTTGTCTGGCTAATGACCAGTAAAAGGTCCGTTTAGCCCTCTGATCTTCTTTAGCAGTGGCCCACTAAATACTTAAGGGAAGCCAACAAGCAGGATGCAATTATAGTAGCACTTTCTTGCTGATACTTTGAGAAGCTATGTGATTAAAAATGTATTTTTTCCCCTCCTTGAATTTTTCAGTGATGATGTGATGGTTTCTTTGAGCAATGCTGCATGAATTTGACAAACTCTCTGTACAGCAGAAGCAAAACTAATTTGTTCCATGGTCTGCAGAAACAAAGGCTGCTCAGGACCTCCTGGCTACTGCTGCTGCTAGAGCAGGGAGGAACAGCAATCAGCTGTCTTGGCCTAGTACTTAAACTTCAGTTTGTGTGTGATAAAAATATGGGTCTATTCAAGCCAGATACCTTAAACGTTTTGGGAAAGCTAGGTGATCAAAAGAACTTGATACTTAAAATAAAATTGGCATTGCCTCTTGCGTATAAGAATCCCAAAAACACAGTGTCAGAATCTTTTTTCTGCCATCTCAATATTGGTTCTAGCAAAGGCTACCACAAATCTAAGACCCTAGAAAGTGGTGGTCATCGTTCAGGTAGCCAGAGTAGATGGCATTTATATTCTGTTCCCTTG